CAGGCCCGCTGCGTTTCCGCGTGGGGGATGCTCGCCGCACACCTGGGGGAGAGTTCTCTGCTGGGTTCTCGCCCTCTTTGACAAAAGGTTTATCCTTCGTGGGATTCCAAACATGAAAAAAAGAATCAGATTGACATATATAAAGCAGAAGCGATTAAAATAATGAATAGTGGGTGCCTGGGTGGCTCAGTCGTTAAGCGTCTGCCTTCGGCTCAGGTCATGATCGCATCGGGGCTCCCTGCTCCGCGGGAAGCCTGCTTCTCCCTCTCCCACTCCCCCTGCTTGTGTTCCCTCTCTCGCTGTCTCTCTCTCTCTCAAATAAAAATTTTTTAAAAATCTTTAAAAATAAAATAATGAATAGTACTAACAATCACAAGATGATAACTGCACCAAAATAAGCCAGTGACACTTGGGTGCTGTCTGGTTCTGAACAAACGGTGGGGGAAGAAACTGGGCCCCCAAAGCGCCGCCATTCCCCACCACACTGTTCCAGGATGATTTGGGGGCCACATAGGATGGCGGAGGAACACGTGGGTGGTCCCGCCTCTGAGCGTTTCCACTTTGCGGGGGAAGGGAGGTGCCGATGGCCCACATCAGAGGTGCGGGGCTGCATCTGGACAACAGGAGAAAGCGGGCCAGGGCCAGCACGGCTTCCCGAGGCCACATGCTTCTTTATATCCCCATACGGATTACGTTGCTATGGAATGTAAGGAAGTGTGTGGTTTCGGCAAGTGCCTCTTCTGCAGGCCCACCCCAGCACCCGGCACAGGTTTGGCCCCCTTCCTCACCCGGGGCTTTGTCCCCCCCCACACACAGGAATTTCCCTCTGCAACCAAGCAGGAGCCTCTGCATCCTGTCTGGCCCCTCGCCCACACGCCCTTCTCTCCCTCCTGAGGCTTCGTGGCTCAGCTCGGTTCCAGGCCCGCTGCTGATTGTGCGGACCCCACGGCTCATGTCCATTGGCAGAGAGAGGCCACATCGCCTAAAGGTTTTTCACACCGGCAGCCGTCACCGGGCATTTTGCTCCTGAAATGAGAGCTTTCTGCTAACCGAACTGAATTGTGATGCCTTCACATCCCTCTGTTATCACTTACTTCCCTTTAGGACCCTCAATGTCTCTGGCACTTTGCGCAGCTCAAGGGCTTTCCTTGCAGGCCGGCAGGTGCTGGGGGGCTTGGGAGACTATAGTCTGGGTCCCTGAAAGTCCCCTGGCCCTGCTCTGCCACCTTGTCCCCTTCATATCACAGCCCTGTTGCCAAGCAGCGCTGGGTGAAGCTGCTTGCTAAAAAGGTCAGAGTACTCAGAGAGCAATCCACTCATCTAACTGGCTAAGTTCCTTTCTCCCCTCTTCCCTGAACCCCTGTGTCCCCAGCCCTGGCCCTAGAGGGCCTGAACCCACACGCAGAAGGAGTTGGACTCCCAGAGCGAAGCCTTGGGCATGAGGAGACACGGCAGTCACCCAAGGCTTGGGCCATCACCTACCCCAGCATTCCAGAATGAGGGAGGAGGCTGAAAGGATCCCCTCCCTCACTTACCCCCCAGCTGCAGGATGGCCTTGTGCCTTCCACAGCTCTGCTTCCTGCTGTTTGGGTGTGTGTGTGTGAGACCAGGGCTGGGCCACCCTGAATTCCTACCGTGAGTTCTTAAGCAGAAGCACAGGGTTTGACAGATGTGTGTGGAGATGCACAGGATGCAGAGGAGAGGGCTGTGAGACAGAACTGAGAAGCAGCAAGATGGGGCACGGGCAGAGGAGGACAGGGAAGGATGAATGCAGAGTGGCGGGAGGCGAAGGGGACCACCCCCTCAGAGGCGACTGCGTCGCAGCACACTGGGCCACGGCCCCCACTGGGCTGCTGCAGCACAGGCGGCGCCCCCCACTGTCTCTCCCAGATGCCAGGCAGGGGTCTAATGGCCTTCAAGGGCATGCCAACCTGTACTCCTTAGGGGCTGGAGAGAATTCAGAAGAACCAGAGATGGGGCAGCTGCAGGACTGAGCACAGAGACTTCAGCTTTAGTTAAGTGATTCTCAGCTGCAGGAGACGTTGCCCCTCTGAGCACATTGGGCAATGCCCAGGGACATTTCTGCTGGTCACAAGTAAGGAGTTCTACCAGCATCTAGTGGGTAAGGACCAGAGATGCTGCTAAATACCCTACAATGCACAGGACAGCCCTCCTCAGCAAAGACTTAGCTGGCCCCAAATGTCCACCTGCTGCGATTGAGAAACCCTGCTCTAGACAGTGGTGCTTTGAATGACTAAGGTCTCTGGTGTCGGCATATTACCACATACTCAATCTTCCAAAGAAAATTACCACCCTTCTTTTCCAAACATCAGTCTTCACATCTCTAAAATAGGCAGATGACTCAAAGCTGTACTTCTTCCCAATGACAACCCTTTCTTTTTCTAAATTGGACTTGCTCCAAAGATAGTTTTCCTTTTCCTCCCCTGAGGTTGATTCTGTGTCATCTACTCAGAAACTGGGGGGCCAGGGCATCTGCCTTCGACTCAGGTCATGATCTCAGGGTCGTGGGATTGAGCTCAGCAGGGAGCCTGCTTCTCCCTCTGCTGCTCCCCCTGCTTGTGCTCTCTCGCTCTCCGTCAAATAAATAAATAAAATCTTAAAAAAAAAAAAATGAAACTGGGGGGCCGTTGTGCAGGTGGAGCAGGACGTGAGTAAAGAGAGGAGAGAGGTGATGAGGGGTATTGTCCTGACTTGCAGAAATCACCCTGCAAGAAGAGGTCTGTTCTGACTTGATGTACTGCCCGGCTGCCCCCTGCCCCCACAGCTGCCTACTCCCTTGCTCCCCAGGAGGAGCAAGGACAAGGTTAGCCAGAGGAAAAGCTGGTGGGCGTAGCCCCAAGACCCCTGTGTCATTGATAGGAGGTGGAGGAAGAAGGTACGATGTCCCTGACTGCGGAGCCAGCAAGATGCATGCCAAGGCAGAGGGGACTCAGCGCAAGCAAGAAGCTGCAACAAGGCCCTGTGCCAACCATCTAGAGCTGAGGAGTCGCTGTGGCTCCTGCTTCCCCCCCTCCCCCGACCCCCAGCACATCACAGCGCCCTTCCCCCAGTTGCCGCGTCTACCGTGCCTTGTTGACTGCACTGACTTCTGCGATCTCTTACTTATTTCAGACAGAACTCCCAAGCTGCCGTCCATTTGGCAGAAGTCCGCTTGGCAGGGTAAACCAGTTCTGCTTTTCCTGATCAGTGGTTTTTACAACTTCAGGGTTGAAATGAAAATACTTACAGCCAGGGGAAGGGAAATATGTGAAGAACGGGCTGAAGTAGAGAGTGAAACTTTTGGCTTCAAAAGCAGGCACGATTGTCTGTAGGACTTTCCCACAATGCCTGGAAGTGTTTACTGTGTCCACCGGGGACCTCGTGTTGAGCACCTTTCTGTGGTTATCATTAAGTCTTACAATGAGGAGACAAGGTAGGTATGTTCCCCCATGGTACAGGTGTAGACACTGAGGTTTAAAGAATGCATGTAATGGGGCGCCTGTGTGGCTCAGTCATTAAGCGTCTGCCTTCGGCTCAGGTCATGATCTCAGGGTCCTGGGATCGAGCCCCGCATCGGGCTCCCTGCTCTGCGGGAAGCCTGCTTCTCCCTCTCCCACTCCCCCTGCTTGTGTTCCCTCTCTCGCTGTGTCTCTCTCTGTCAAATAAATAAATAAATTCTTAAAAAAAAAAAAAAAAAGAATGCATGTAATGTCCCCAGAGCAAAAGAGCCAGGAAGCCTCAGTGGGATTTGAACCCAGTTAAGGGTGACTCCCGGGCCACATGCTTTCCATTCTATTACACTTCTCTTCATCAGGGAGGGGAAATTAAAAGAACAGGCAAGAGTACCCTCCGAGGGAGGAGGGACAGCCTTCTGGCATTCTGCTTGTCTGGGGAAGGTCTTCATCTCAATCAGCTCCCTGCCCCCTTGATCACACTTTCCCAGAAATAGGCAGAAATCAGCGGGTACCTCTGCGAGTCCAGTGGTTCTCAAATTTCATCCGCATGAGACTCACCTGGAGGGCAGCTCACACAAATGCCTGCGCCTATCCCCAGTGTCGTAGATGGGTAAATGTTACTTCCATTGTAAGGCCAACATACAAGTTCTACTGCCCTGGAATCCAGACTTCTCCGTTAGAAACTACAAGAATCAAAGATTTCCCCACCTCTTTTGAGGAACTATTTTGTCAATTCTACCCATTTGTCAAACCAAACAATCTCAATGTCTATCGCTAGGAGAATGACTACATACATTGTAATATATTCACGTAGTAGAAAGCCATAAAAAATGAAAATTAATAAACTACAGCTGCCTCATCAATATGGATGAATTTTATAAATATCATTTTAAGTGAAAATACCAAGTCATAGAGGAATGCCTGTGGTATGATACCATTATATAAAAAACAAGCAATATATCGTTTAGGAATAAATGCATAAATAATAAAAACTATAAAAAATAACATTTAAATTATTTTTTAAAAGGAATTCAATTGCCTGTGAGGGGAAACTAAAGAGATAAATTGGGAAATGCATTCAGGAAGCCTCAACAGTATTGGTGAAGTTCTTTTTCTAAGGTAGATGGTTATTTGTGGGTATTGGTTTTATCATTATGTGTCATAGCTTACATATGTATGACATGTATTCTTTTACAAATACATCATATTTGAATTAAAAATTATAAATTCTATTTTAAAAATTAAAATGTAATCTTACATTCAAAAGAATATAGACCAAAATGTTACATTTCTTTTGGAAGATGGGAGGAGAGAGAATTATGGAAGACTTTCATTTTCTAAATTCTACAATTCGATATCATTTTAGTTCTTCAGAGTGTTTATATTTGAAAAAGAATAAGGATCGAAGACAGAAGATGAAACAAAGTCACACAATGCAAAGTACAAATTACGTGTGGCTCTCACAAGCCCCGCAAGAGAGCATCCTGGGTGTGGCTAGCTACTGGGATTTGATTCATGCTAATGCTGGTTCTCTCTGTGTTGCAGGCTTGCACAACCGATGCTCGGAGGTACCAAGGGATCCTTACCCTGGAGGCTACGGTCACCTCCCAAGGGAGCTGCCCCCTGCTCTGGCTGGTCAAACGGAACCAAGTCCGTCTTCCTGAGAGGTTTGGTCCCCTTCAACCAGCTACAGCAGGGCTGGCAATGCCCAGTCCTTGGAGAAACAGAAGAGATTCACCTGAAGCTGAAATTACTTACTAATGCTTCCCTTAAGGAAATGACTCTGATTTTGTCATATACTCTCATGCTCCCAGGAAGGGAGAAGAGAGGAGCCCTGGGTTCAAAAGTGAGCAAGATTTTCATGCTGAACACAAAGAGCTCTGTACCCCTGCATCCACAACCAGACCCACTCACGTGCTCCTGACACACACAGTCAGTAAAGATTTGGAGGAGGGAATTTGTGCCAACCAGGGGAAGATTACGGGACCTAGAAGACAGGGCTCCTGCTCACATGGGGCTAGCAGTCTAAGTAAAGAAATTAGACAGATGAATATGGCACAGTTCAATGGAATCTCAAGTGCAAGCTCAGCAATTCTTCTCACATAGTCCACCAAATATGCCTGGCACATGGCACGCCATCAAACCTCTGCCCATCCATGCAGCCCAAGATATCTATTCACGAAGCAATATACACATGACTCAGTTTCCTGATCTGTAGAATGGGGATAATAATCATACCACCCACCACATACGGTTTTGTGTGGAATGAAATGAGAATGCATGTAAAGGAGTTAGAAAGCTCTCAATAATTGCTACCTGTTATTAAGGGGGATAACCTGACGTGTCTTCCTTTCAAAATTTGTATCTTTGACAGTGCACTCATCCTTACATGTATTACTAGTATATAATAAGAGTCACTTTTAAAAAGTGCTTCATACATTAGTCTGATACTATCATCTTAAAGAAATATCCTGCCTAGAAAGCTTTCATTTGTGCATGGCGCTAAGATGCTAGTCTGGACCCACATGTCCTCCGGAGTACACAAAGGCCACGGAGTGCGTATTACGAAGGTGTGGAGTTTGGACATAAGCACAGGAGCTGGAGTGCCTGGGCTCAAATTCCAGCATTCCTACTCACCACCACCCCCACCAGCTGTGCCACTTTGGACCAGTTGCTTGACCTCTCTGAGCCTACATTTCCTCATCCGTAGAATGGAGATATTAATAAGAGCGTCAGCCTCATAGGGTTTTCATGAGAATGAAGTTAAAAAATACATGTAAATGTATAAAACTAGTGTGAGATATATAATAAGCTTTTAACATTGACAATGTACCTGAAATGTTCCTGAAACTAAATTGGTGTTCAATAAACACTTCTTCAATAAATCGCCTTCTTTTTTTTTTTGTATTCTAAACACGAACAATGGGATCATATAATTTCTGGTTCAACCATTTCTGCTCATCTCTTTAAACCTAGCACATTGGTGCAGACCAGTAGTAAGGGGTGGGACACTGGCCAGCCCTGTCTCTCCAGGTCTGCAGTGTGATGGAGCTGCCCCAGAGCTAGACACATGCCTCTGGGGGGGAGCAGCCGGGGGCGGGGGGGACCTAAAGCACCATGATAAAGTTCCGAAGCAGACACCTGGAAGAACAGCAGGGTTAAATGATGTGAAAACAAATATGACATAGTCAAAGACTAGATGCACTTGACAAGAAAGGACCTCTCCCCTCTGGGAGTGCAGAGGTCTTGTCGGTAAAGCTGAGATGAGCAATGGCAGGTGCGGGTGGTAGGACACTAAGGAAAGAGCCGCTTTCACATTTGGGATTTTATGGCTAACCTACCTGAGGAAACTGGACAGGACCACATAAGTCTAAGATAAATAATGTCTTCTTCTACATTAGGAAGAAGCAACCCACACACAGCTTGACTTGAAAACTCCTAGCCATCCCCACCTACCTGGGTGGTTTGGGAAGCAACTCTGTCCCCATGGCAGGTCATAGGACTTCCGACAAGGGTCAGAGGACACAGGGTAGATATTACCATCCAAACTCCCATAGCCTTACCCTTGACCACCCCACAGGATGAAAGCAGTTCTAGCCACAGCCTCAGCCAAACCCAAGATTCCATACTGGCCCCATGTCCTTGGCCTCAAGAATACAACTGCAATGCAAGTTTCTGTCTGATTTTCAAAAAACTAGAAGAGGAACACATGTATCTGTGCTCCTGCTAGCCACGAGAAGGAAAGGCAGGACCCTTAAGAAAATGGGCATTTTCTGCTAAGTTTGAATGTTCTTGATAACTTTGCCCCAAGGTCCCACAAGACAAAACTCTGCATTTTAGTAAGGAGTCCAGCTCAGTCACAGAGGTGGGGCATCGTGCCCTAGGTTTGCTCTTGCTCACCCTGCCACAGCCCCTTTTCAGGGCAGAAATCTAGGTTAGGCCAGCCAGCAGGGCATGTGGTTTTGCGATTGCTACTATGTCCCTTCATGAGTGTTCCTGTAGAATCATCATTCCTGTGCCAGGAAGAGGCAGCGCGTGACCTCACAGTGGTCAAAACTGACAACTCGGGGTCCCCTTCAGACTGGATCCCACCCCCGCATCCGGCAAGCGTTATCTCGAAGAGGGAAAAAAATGATAGCATGAAAAGTACTGAAGGACCTCTTCCCCAACGGGGTTGGTGGGAAACATGCTGGGGCTATCTATCTCACAGAAAGTCAGAACAAACAGGAAAATCCCGTGAGACGAGGTGCATCAAGGCTTTCTTGTCGGTGATCGTTCCCAGCACTGGCAAAACTGCAGGCCAGTAGGCAGCTCGTAGACTGGCGCAGAGGGGAGTGGGGGGAGAGTACTGGTACCTACTCCCGAGAGCGTAATTTATCAGAACATATGCAGGGAGGATGCTATTGTTTCTCTGTCCCAAATCCTCCCTTCCTCTGTTAACAGCTCAGTCCCTCTGCTGTGACCATTCTCCTTCAAGTTCTCCCTCACTCCACTCACCAGGTTTTCTACAAAAACTTTCCATGACCACACACTGCTAAATAATTCCGGTGAGCCCTTCTGTGGGAATTTGGACTGTGGTCTATACAAAAGGCATATATTTCCTTGGAGAGCTAACTTGGAAAGATGTAAAGCTGCACAACTAGTCCTAGTATGTCGCCCCAGCATTAACTAAGAGGAAGAATAAACCAATTACATTAAAAAAAACAAAACGTGGGTGCCTGGGTGGCTCAGTTGGTTAAGCGACTGCCTTCGGCTCAGGTCATGATCCTGGAGTCCCTGGATCGAGTCCCGCATCGGGGTC